TATGAATTGATCAACAAGGGGGTTCCAATTTTTCTAGATTCGATTTCCAAATTTGGTAAAATACTTGACTGTATTAACTATATATTAATTGATGATCTGCGAATAAATTGGAGACCAATTGAGTCATAAATAATCACACATTAATGTGCTGGAGTAAGAATTATTACAAATTAATCATACAACTTATGAAAAATTAATTATGGAATTACAGACACAACAATAATCATTTATTAAGAGCATATAATTGTGGTGAACAATTATATAATAATTATAAGTATTTATAATTGATTACATGTTAGTTTTATAAAATATACATATACATATATATATTAAGATAATTATAAATTAAAGGATGGTTTACCAATATTTTACTAAATCAAGTTCTCTATTTAGGTGTACATTTAAACCTGTTTCAGAATTTACATTAATACTATCTCCTTCCCCTTCCCCTTCCCCTTCTTCTTCTTCTTCTTCAACATCTTCATTCGTCAAAATATTTGGGCCTTTTTCTAATCTTTCAACAAATGAATCAACATTTTTGAAAATCCCTCTTTTGTAATATTCCTCACAATATTTACATCTTTTGGCTAATATATCATAACAATTTATATGATATCCATCTCCACATATAAGTATTATTCCTTCATCACCTTCAAAAGTTCTTTTGCATTTATCACATAGTTTAGGATCTGGTGGAAAAGAAGTATGGTAACCAGCAGGAAGACATTTTAACTCAACATTTTTACCTAATGTTGTTAATCTGTAAGTATTTTTTTTAGGCTTTTGTACTTGATTTTCCTGGTTAATATTGTTATATATCAAATGAAAATATTCTAATAAAAATAAACTTGTTTTTGTAGTTAAATGTTCTAAATTTGGTTCAGAATAAGGGTAATTATGAGCCTTTTTAAAAGTATTTATTGTTGATTGATCATGAAGATCAATTAGATATGCTTGCTTAATAATTGCCTCTGCTGAATGTAAGGATGTTGTATTTGCTCTTATTCTGCTATGAACATTTTCTACATAATAATCATTAAAATTAACATATATGATTTTATTACTTCACTAAAAGGATGATTCTTGTCTTTCCAATAATAATAGTCTGAAATGAAGGCCAAGGGAGCTTTATTATAATTTTTTCGATTCCACCTTAATGCAAAAGTCCAGATACGGAAGAGTGTTTCTAAATATTCATCAAATGAGCCAGATCTAAATAAAAGAGCATAGATGTCTAATATAGATGGTATCAGGTTATCTAATAAATCGAGCATTAATCTGTATTCTAGGTCTTTACAAATTTTAGGAAATTTATTTACAACAATATGTGAAATTTTCTTCCACCCTTTATCTGCAAGGTCTAATAGAAGGTTGACTCTCCAAGGTTTGGGTTTTTTTGCTAGAATTTTTTTGGGTCCAAAAACATAATGAAATAATTTATTAAAAAATTCCTAATGTATTTTTATAATATGTTCTCTTGAATTCAAGGACACATGTAATGGTCC